ACACAGCACTAAGAAGCTAAAGCCACTTCTGCATGAGTTCAATCCCCGCCTGCCCCGGAGGTGACCCACATGGTACAGCAGACCTCTCCTGACCCGCCCGCTGCTCCCCTCAGCAGTGTTCTTCATAGATCTGCCTGTTCTGCTCCCACTCTGTCTCTGGTGAATCCTCTCACTGTCCCTGCACCTCTGGCCTGTACCCCAGCTCTGTATGCATAAATAAAATAGATCTTAAAAAAAAAAAAAGACACGGGATAGCTTAACATGAAAAACTGAACATTTCTTCCTAGTTTCTTATGAGATAGGCTTCTATCCCTGATGCCTTTGATAAATGAAGAAATAGACACACAAGTAAATGAAGTGAGTTAGAGACCCGCACCCCAGAGATGAAAGAGACCTTCCAACCACCTTGTCCAATCTCCTCATTTTACAGGTGAGAAGACACCTGAGGGATTAAATGGCACAGCCAAGGTTGCCAGGCTATTAAGTGGTGCAGCTGGAACGTGAAGGCCTCCAGACCACTGGTCAAATGTCCTTTCCACAACAGCCCTGGGCTTTGCACTGCATGTACCAAGAAGTCAGCACAAGATCTGGACCTTGAACTGCCTCAGTCCATCACCAACCTTTATTGAGCATCTACGGTGTTCGCATCAGAGAAGTCAACACCCAGTCAGAGCTCTCCATACACCCTCCTTCTTCCGCAGTTTCCCCAGGAGCAAAAGGGTTGAATTACAAAGAGCTTTAATACAACTTCCAAGTGTAATCATAATTGCTTTGCTTTCCAACATTTCCTAAATCCTGCTTTCCAGCAACTTCTTTCCCTCACCTACAGGAAGGATTTTTAAAAAAAAATCACTAAGCTTTATATCTTATCAGAGTCACCTCCTCTGGCACCCCTCTGCCATCTATGTGGGACTTGTAGCTCATTAGTCATCGAGTAAGAAAAGTCCCCATTTAAATCCATTCAGCATCACATCCCCACATTTAATCTCCTCTGTGGCTTGCAAAAAGTCAGCATTACACTTTATTTGCCTAGAAGTGGTGAAGCTGGCCCTCTGATGAGCTGTAAGGGACTTCATGAAGTAGCTGTTGGCAGGGGGTATACTCAGACTTGTTAGTTTTTTCTGCCTCATACCAACTGTTAGGTATCGGCTCTGTTGTACCATTTTACAGATGAAGAGAGAGAGGTTCTGAGAGGTTGAGAACTTGGGAATGGCCCAAGACTCCCCAAGAGCTGAACCAGAATTTGAATGTGAGACATGCTGGTTCCAAAACCTATGTTTCCCTCACGTACTACTCTCATCCTGGCCTCTGGGGCTTTGCTTGTTTGTCTTAACAGCTAAACTATAAACTGATTACAAAAAATGTTGGTCTCAATCGCAAAGACCAGGACCACTGGTGTCCATAAAGCAGGATAGGGCTTGGCAGAGTGAGCAAACTGCACCCCCACCTGGGACTCTGGGTGCTTCTTAAAGACATCAACCAAAGGCAGAGGGTCCAAAAAAAAAAAAAGTGAATAAAAACATGGGAGTTTCTAGCCAATTTTTCGATGAAACTAATTTGAGTACATAAGAAATCTGAAAGGCAAGAATGTGCGTGGGTTGATGTGAGGATAAAATGAGATAATGTTATGAAAACACTCGGTAAGTTGGAAAGCACTGAGCAGACGCTTGGCTTGTTTTGAAGGTGTTAGGGGAACAGGGGTTCAGTAGAGTTGATTGTATCAACTTCAGCTTTTCACTCATTTCGACCACAGACCCCTCAATTTTTCCCAGGAACCCCTGGACTGAAGTTTCTAAATTTGGGGGTACAGACATCAGGGGCCAGGAGTGACGCTCTGCCCATTCCCAGCACCTCAAGCCCTTGTGTTCCTCTGGTTTTCAGGGCCTCCCAGCAAGGGGCCGGCTGGGTTCCTGAACATGTGGGCTACCTGCCCGCCTCAGCTTTCAGGGAATTAACAATCCACAGTACGGAGCAGCCCAAACCCACCAGGCAAAATCCTCTACATTTCACTGACTTTGCTGGGAGTCTTCCGGCAGATGGCTTGATCTCTCTGTGTCTCCTAGCACAACAGAGCAGAAAAGAGGTCTCCTTTAGCTCTCAGGGCACTAATAAGGCAGAGAGAAATTGCTTCTATACTCTGAAGGAAAGTGCTTCGCATCCTATTATCAGGGCACTGTGGCCCAATGGAAAGCCAGCTGATGCTCTGGCCTTGTGGCCTCAGGCCAGGCCTCCTTTCTTCCCACAACCCTCTGCTACCCCAAAAAAGCCTGGGATCTGTTAGCCCATGAACTCTTGCCTCCCCAAATATCAAAGAACTTAAGCCTGGCTTTTTTTTTTTCTTTTCTTTTCTTTTCTTTTTTTTTTTTCTATCAAGGGGTCTTTGAACCAAAGGGATTTTTCAGAGAAAGAAAA